AGGTTAGGGGTTATATTATTTATTTATTTATATTATTTATTATTAGTATATAATTTATTATTAGTATATAAATATATATATATATATGTATATATATTGTTAGTATATAACGTATATAGCTGTTGCGTCGAAAATTTTAGCGAGAGAGAGAGAGAGAGAGAGAGCAGAGAGGGTCAAACGATGCGCAGAGAGGGAGACGAGGTCGATGGTCGATCGATGGTCAAACGAGGGTCAAACGAGGGCGATCGATGGTCGATCGAGGCGCAGAGAGGGAGACGAGGAAGACGAACAGGTTAGGTTTCTTCTCTCTGTCCTCAATCCGTCTCTCTCTTCCCTCGACCTATCTCCCTCTCTCTCTCTTCCCTCGATCAGTCTCTGTCTCTGGCTCTCTCTCTTTCTCCTCTCCAACAGTTCTAGGGCTTCTTCGATCCACCCACCTGCGTGTCTGAATCGTGTCCTCGCGTGTCCAACCTCGTGTCCGACTCTGAAAAATTCTGAAAAAAGGGGGACACGCAGGGGAGAGTGTCGGACACGTGTCAACAGCGTGTCGTACGCGTGTCCGTGTCCGACACGTGTCCGACACTAATACGCAAGCCTCAGGGACGTGTCCGTGCTTCATAGATGGTAAATGATACCTTGAAGGCATTTTGATAATTTATGCCTTGAGGGCAATTTGGTAATTTAGTCCTTCAGAGCATCTTAGTAATTTGTGCCTTAAGGGCATTTAGGTCAATTATGCCTTGGGGGCATAATTGAGATTTGACCCTTAAGGGTATTGACAAAGGAGAAAATTTTGAGAAAATGGCCAAGTTTGAAAAATATTCCAAGTGTAAAGGTAAATTTGTGAGTGAGTGTTAAATAACCAAGTTTGGAGTTTTTTTGTACTCGGTTGATTTTCGGTCGAGTCCTAGTATTATTGATTTTACAAGCGTGGCCTGGGTTATAGGCTTATAGCCAGTATTGCCAATAAGCTTCAGGAGATAGTGGATCAAACCATTTGAGGGTGGTGTGGATTTTCTAACATGTAGCTCATAGGGAGCATGGGGTGAGATCAATGTAGGACCTAGTATGCACTTATTTATAGCGTGGATATGGTATGTGTTGGCGAGGCTAAATTTTTTGCCCTGTTGGCAGGTTATTGAAGCCCTATTGGCGGTTATTGATTTCGGATTCTTTCCATTATTTAATTATTCTAGCGAGTTAATTAAATAAGATGGACTTAATAAGATTTAAGTAAGTTAATCCAAAAATTGGACATTCCATTACATAATTTATTTGTCTCGACACTAAAATGTTTACTTAGTAAGAAATGAGATTACTGTCGGGTGAGTGTCAATACTCAATGCTCACCCCCCTGCATTGTGTAGAATGGACACCCTCCGGCATGAGCATTGGGACGTAGTTTGTCATGTTAAGTTCAAACCCTACATTAATTGGGCCTGCGTGCCTTTACACCTTTTGTTGGATTATTGTATTAATTAATTTCGGGTCTATAACTTAAACATTTATTTCCGTTATTGCATGATGTACTTCATTTTATTAGTTTGGCCGCCAAGTAAGAATGTGTTTAGTACGTGAGAGAACACTAGAGTTTTTGAACTTAAAGGGCAAATTATTTCAAAATCTATCAAATGGCATGCTTCCTAATGCAAGCTGAATTTTATCAAAACACTTGTTTTGTCACCTAAAGTTCATTTAGGCTCTTATAAAGGAAAAATATATTTTTCTAGCCTCATACAATTTAAGGCCATTGGGCAAGTTTTACGAGACAAACCTAAATATCATAATTGAATGAGAATTGGCTATGGAAAGGGATTTGGAGAATGAACTAAGTAATAAAGGGAGTTTTTACTTAAAACCTCATGCTTAGGTTTGTTTGTTTTTTTTTTATTGGCACGGTGTGTCTGGATCAAAACCGGACTAATATCCTAGGAGTGCACAAGTCCTCAACAAGGAGTTTCCCGCAAGTGCACCATGATTAATTCAAGGGTTTTCCCCAATCCAATGGCCCCAAGGAATTCTTAGCACCTAAAAGGTTTCGATCCATGAAACTTGGAGAGAGCACACCCCCAAGACCAAACGCTTTGTCACCAAGTTAATGTGTTTCCGCCTAATTGATCTTTAAAAATTGAGGGTGTGACAATCTATGTTGTCCAATATACTACATAAAGCATCCATTTTGCCTTTACTAAATATTAGCCAATTTTGAAATTTGCAGAGTTCTTCACATAACATGTCACGCAAAAACAAAATCCGTTTTTAGGATCGTAACACATGAAAGGGGTTTCGAAAAGAATTTGAACCCTAGAGGTCTATTAAGGCTCGATTGGTCTAGAAAAAGGTTGTTAAGGTGTTTGACTAGGCTAAAGTATATATAAGTTCATCCAATTTTGAATAAAAGCGGGCAATTCAAAAGTTTCGAACGATCTCTCATGTTCATCATCGGGCAGTATTCTCAAACTAACTTAAAAGATAAAAGTATAGTCAATTTTGAGCGCAGAGACAAGGCTACTATATATGAGTCCAACTTAACGTTGTGTCCAACAAAACAACTTAAAAGATTAAAGTGTAGTCAATGTTTTCATACTCATTCCAAGTTCAAAGTAACATTTGTACAAGAAAGAATTCCCTTGGTCATGAGTTCTTCACAAAAATAGAAATAGGATCCGTGGAATAATTGAGAGTTCATTTTGTGCAATAGCCATTCCCATCAAATAGGTAGTGGCTTGATTAAGGGAACCCACCAGAGCCATGGCAAAAGTGAATCTGCATAGGGTAACTGTCACTGTTAGTGGATGTGAAGCTAGGCCATGACCAGATTGAAGCTTGGGTGAAACTAAGTGGAGATATGAATCGACTGATGCTTTAGAATCAACAAATAAAGTTTGGTTAGGGGTAACGTTGTAGCAACATTGCAATTTAAAGTCCTACCAAATCACATTTCTAGGAAATCATTAACAAACTCAACCAAGTGTAGTAAGGTCACGCCAAAGTAAATCATTTTATCAAGGGAGTGTTGCTAATAGCTTCACCAAATTTCTTAGAGCACCCACCAACAAATTTTGATTTTTTTTTTATTTTTCTTTAGACACCCCACTTAATACCAAAAGATCCATTAGCAAACCCTAATCCTACCCACCCCACACACAACCCACTACCACCAGCTCCAACAACCATCCCCCTGCCCCTCAGCAGCTCCGACCGCCACCCCACAACCCCTTCCCACCTCTAGCACCACCATTAGCATCCCTTCCCCGTCCTCCATCAGCCTCTTTCAACTCCCCGTCACTTTCGTAGCCCCCACCCTCCATGTGCCACCCTAGTCCTCGCCACCCTTTGACGGCCTCCCCTCCAACTAAGAGAAAGAGAGAGAGAGGACGGAAGGAGGAAAGTGGTGGGGTAGGTGCCGAGGATGGGATGGGAAAGGGCCGGTGAGGGTGGGAAAGAGCTAGGGATGGGCGGGAGATGGTTGCTAAAGCAAGGGGAAGGGCAGGGGAAAGGCCAGAGCAACTAATGGTTGATGTGGGAGTGAGGTAGAGGTAGAGGTAGAGGTAGAGGTAGAGTTTGAGTGGTTAGGGATAAAGATAAAATAGGCATTTTGTGCTAGGGCAAAATGGTAATAAAAATATGAATAAGTGGGGTCTAAAGAAATTGGCAGGGCATATAGCAACAAACTTATCAAGGTGGCTAGTTTGAGACAGATATGTATTATGCAATGTCATTAGAATCGTACAATAATTATATGTATTGTTCGATTTATCTCATATAGTATGGCTTAAGATATAGTGTGTCAACATCAGCTTGCAACTAGAATCGTGTGATACTTTTTTATATTGCTCAATTTTGCATCTTGCCATAATTCCATGAGTATCGCATGATGAGTTAAGAGAGATAATTCGAATGATCTAACTTTAAGCATCTTCCTAAATTAATTTCGCATGATCACCAAACTCAAATGATGTTAGAAAATCATAATCAACAAATTAATAATAGAAAACCAAGAGATGAAAAAATTTCTTCGTACACAGGGAAAAAAGGGATTTACAAAGAGAAGAAGAATTTATTTGTGAACACAAAGGGTGGGTAGTAAAACCATGGCTGTTGTGTTATGAGCCCAGAAGGGGTTTTTTGTGCTAGGTGTGTATTGTATTTTCAGATTGCCTAGTAACTGTTAGATTTGGCTTCGTCCTGAGATTTGAACCAAAGGCATGGTGGTTAAAACTGCAATAATAAAACAATAAGGACAAGTCGTTTCTAGTTCATAGATCCAAAGAGTTATGTATTCCTCGGCTATTCGTGGCATAGTTAATATCCACTCTATGGCTTGTCTGAGAGAAAGATCTATTTTATCATTTTATTTTATTTTTTATTAAACAAGAATTCCACAGTTCTGTATTGGGACACTGTTAATCAAAGCAATGGGTAATCTTTCCCACGTCACCTTCCTAGAAGTGTCCGTGCTTCTTAGTGTATTCCTCAGCTATTCGTGGCATAGTTAATATCCACTCTATGGCTTGTCTGAGAGAAAGATCTATTTTATCATTTTATTTTATTTTTTATTAAACAAGAATTCCACAGTTCTGTATTGGGACACTGTTAATCAAAGCAATGGGTAATCTTTCCCAGTCTAGCAACATAAATCGTACACAAAGGGAGCTAAGCTAACCGGAGGATCAAGTAAACTTGTATCATGCCATCTATGAGTTGAAGAAAGGTAAAGTACGTAAAAATGGTCTTTTGGCTGCAAACAAATATCTTGATACAACATGATAGCTAGTTTATATCCTAATTGACGCCACATGACCTTGTAAGGTCTAGCAAAACAAATCTACGAAACATGGCAATAAAAAAATATCCCTTTTCGACCAATGCAGCATTTTAAAGAACAAGTACACTGTTCAAAGTGAAACCATTAAGAGATGAAAGCTCCAAATTGTCATGGAGTATGTCCAAACAAACTTTCAAAAAGACACCAACAAACAGACAGATAGAACTAATACCTGATGATCATCAAGGGAGTACCACATGCCACTTGATGTGCGAACAAAGCAGTAATAATGGCCAGAATGTGTGCTCCAACCGGCATGAACAAGAACACCATAAAGAGTATACTTTAAATCTCCATCCTGTCAAGTACAATCAAAGAATTAGCCATGGCACAAAACACATGGGGGTATCAATCTCTCATCAAATTGGTACCAATGCTAACTAAGAGATTTACCAAGCATATACAACAGATTTGGTTTCTAGATCAATAAAAATTGTAGGTCCATCAGGAATTTTTATCCAACTGGCTATTTACAAAATCTGGTTACCAGATTTTTTAATTATTAGCAATTTATCATTTCATCCATTTGGTAACTCCAGTGTTACACATGCAGATGAGTTTTGAGCGTAATAAATCTATCATCTGAGATTGAACATGGCAGAAAGTCACCACACACAATACATGTTCCAGAAGCCACTATCACATTGCTTGCCCTGCCATAAAACCAACACATGTGGGTAACTGGAATAAAATGTTGGAAAGAAAATGTATCAAAAACCAAGTGAAAATGCCTGGTAAATGCATAAGCAGGTGAAAGTTTTCAAGTCATTCCCCATTATGCTTCTAATTTGATTCATGTTTCCACATTTGCCAATGTTCTATACAAAAAGTTAAATCCTGTTATGTATGTGTAATATCCTCTCAAGACCGTTTTCTATTGGCATTTGGCAGCTAGTACACTTGAAACCATTCCAATTTTTGTTGATTTAAAAAACGTAAAATCCATTTGATTGTCAATGACAATATCAAATTTGTGGACATAACATGTTCAAATCAATGAACTCTCCAGATTAATAGAAAATGGAGGCATTGAAAATTCAAAATTTGGAAATTTGGTTACAACTAAACAAATTGGTTCCCCACTATACCTATACAAGCTATGAGTGCTATAGCAGGCATCAATAAAAAGTTCACTTACATAGGGAGCAGTGACAAAAGGTTTTAAGTCCAATGTGGGACCAAACAGAACTTTCTTGTCAATCTTTTGCCCGGGTTGATATGTACCAAACCGCTTTAGGTGGATGGCAAGAACATAAGGGGCCTTGTGAATTGAGAGCTGTTTGAGAGCCTTTACTTTTTGCTTGCACCTTTGACATTGGTACTGTCTCTCTCCTCCATCTAAATATTCCTTGGCAGTAAAATGCATGAGTGCCTTGTGCAACGATTCTGCCTTGTTGATTTCAAGACTTAAATCTAAGAATGGATCGAACTTGTTGGAGCAGAAAGAGCATTGCATGCATTTCACCTGAAAATAAAAACAAGACTATTAATGAAGAAAACAGCTAGAGTCTCAAATCCTAATAGATTTCTCTATTATTGTAAGCAAATCCATCAAAAACTTCTTCTAGATTATTGTCAGTAATTATATAACAATGAAATTCGTGGTTATTTCCAAAGGCAACGTGTTCCAGAAACAGGCATACAAGAAAAAATGTTTACCTGGCTACGGAGGCGACCACCAAAGATCTTGTGAACCAAGCTTTTCTCGTAAGCACTAGGTGATTCACTTGGTATTCCTACAGGTAAGCAACATTTGTGCATTGACTCCAGCAAATTTACCATGTACTCATGAGCATCCTCCTGTCTGGCATTTCGAAAGTTCCGAGATATGCCTAATATGTGGTCAAGGATTCCAAATTCTAAAAACTACAAAAAAGAAAAAGAAAATACCCATGTGGTGGCTGGGTTCATTAGCCTTTTTTTTTTTTTGGGGGGGGGGGGGTTGTGAACAATTTTTTAACTTACGACTCATAGAAGCTATGCGGGAAATGTGTCCTCACACTACCAGTTAGTGTCCAAATTCCTTGAATCCTAGATGCAAGGTAAAATTATAATGATGCAAAATTTGATTTCTGAGCTACCTAAAACCTTAGTTTGTATACAAAAATTCATATTTTCCTTATATTGTTATGAAAAAGAAACATGCATCGGCACAATTTCAGTAAAAGAGAAAGGGAAAATTGCTTCCACAATGTTCAAACTCTAACTCAACACCCACAGTGCATAAAAAATTTTCTCGTGTCAAAACCTCTTTGCCATCTATAGGGGGTAAAGCAGATAATGAATACATTCAAATGTATAAAGCTTAAAATTTTAAATAAATAAATAAATACCTTGCAACTTTAACAGAAATTCAAGCAAGTGATTCACAATAAAACAATATAAGGATACACCGCAAGTTTGAGACAAGATCCTTTGGTGCTAAGCTTCTCCCAGTTAATTGTAGGGCACGGCTAACATGCTTCTGTATAGCGCACAAAGCACAAAATCCAGCAGTACGACCTTCATGAATCGATTGAAAAAATAAATTAAGGTATCAAGAATAGAATACTAATATTAATACAAACAAATATTCTAGATATAGGAATCAACATTAAAAAAATGAAGACCATATATTATATACAACCAAACAAAACCTTTAAAATATAAAAAGAGAAAAATAACGGCAGACCTATTAGCAGTCCATTATCATTTTACCAAATCCATTTCTCCAAACATTTTGGAATTTTAAAGAACACTCAAATTGTAGTGTGGGAAACTCAAAATGGAGTGCAAATTTTCACTTTATCCACACAGCAAATTTGGGGTAAATCCTTAGCCCTTTTCGAGAAAATAATAAAGAATTTATCCCCTTTGAGAAATACTAAAACAAGAAAAAAAATACACACAAATAAACAAAAAGAAAGGATAGTATTAAGCACATTTGAGGTTATAGTAAGATACCCTTCAGGTAATTGTAATACTCTCTCCTTGTGTAGATACAAAGTCAATAATTAGTTACAAATTGTAAAGGTTTTCTCATTATTGACTTCAGAAGCAAAGCTACATGCTCTTGAGTGGAGTCAGATGACCTTAGTGAAATTTTCAAAAGATAGGTGCCAATTTAGCATTCTCTTAATATTTCAGGATTTTTCTTTTCCAGTCAATGGTTAACATCCAATAATAGTAGTGAATCAAATTCCTAAACTATGAAACTAAGCTTAAAATCATATTCAGAAGCATCTCTTTAAGTGAACTTTCAAGTCGCATATCCCACATCATGAGATAAATAATTCTTAAAAGGAGTTTACATCTTTGTGATTGACATCTTTTTCACTTGTTATGAAGATATAAGTATACAAAACTTGAACTAAAACTTCATTAATAATAATTTAATTTTTCAATTCATCAATTCTTTGAAATGAAGTAATTTTTGTAGAAATCAATTGTTTAGTTTTAATTTTTAGTGAATTAATTTTGTATGATAGGGTTTTGTTTTCCATCATTTTCTATGATAGTGGATGTACATATATAAGATTGTGGCAAAGTTAGCATTGATATATTTCATATAAACTAAAATTTAGCATAATCAATTAGTTGTTGATTAACTCCAGGAAAAAAAAAATCTTAACTCCACCACTGATTTACTTGTTCTGGCAAAAATTGCACGAAGATTAAAGACAATTACTAAATGTGTACTGTTCTTCCAACTCAATAAGTTGTTTCAACGTTGAAAATTTTGGATTGCCTACATATGCATCTTCGACAAGCAAGTATTGATTCTAAGGGTTGGGAGCATATTAATATCTATTTGATTGGCATACGGTTGCAGTGCATTGGTGAGTACTCTAAAATGCTTATGAATATCTACGGCCAATTTAGGGGATGGGCATGGTCATTGGGGGAAGAGAATGAGAAGACAAAACGGGTAGGGTTGCCTGCCCAAGTTCTGGGTTTTATAAAAGATGGGTTGATTCAAGTTCAAGTTTAAGCATATATGTCCAATTTTATGAAACTCGTGCATAAACTTAAATCCATCATGCGAACACATATGTACCTAAACAATCCACCAATGAGAAAATAAAATGTACTTGTGTCAAGGACATACACATATTAGAAGACAAGTGGTTGTGTCTTTGTCCATTTTGCATTCAGGGTACTTAAGGTTGAGCCAAGCTCGGGGAGGGTTTGTCCTAGATCATTTCAATCAAGTTTGAATCACCAATTGTTCATCCAACTTTAGAAATTTTTCTGGAAATATATAATGAACATGAAAATATAGCATCACAGGATCATGAGTGCAATTCATCTAGTAAATTGTGTGCAAGATGAGGGGAGAGATGGTGATAGAAACTCACAAGAATTTTGATGCTTCCCACTTTGTAAATATGCGGCTAAAGGTTCCGTATATGTGAGGCATTGTATAACCGAATTGAGAAAACAAGTATTTCCAAGATTTTCCAGTCCTGCACCCTGTAAGTTATGCATACCATCCTCATAGTTAAGCATACCAATAACTTCAAACCAAGTCAACATTCAACAAAGTTCAAACTAATAAAAGTAAATGTAAATATACAATTATATAAATAATCAAACACCTACAAATTAATAATGTAATGCCTGATTATACAAATAAGCCAAATCAAACTATATAGCAAATCCACAATAAACCCTTGAAAAAAAATTAAAATAAAACACGAACTAAAGCATCCATCAACCAAAGCCTAATCTATAAGCAAATCCAATAATTAGAGAAAGAATTTTAAAGAAAAACAATCTAATTGGAAAACTAGCAAACTACCCAATCTCAACAAACAAACAAAAACCTGAAAAAGTATACAAAATGCAATACAAACAGCGAAAAATGTATAGAAATTAACAACAAACTAAACCAATCAAAATCTAGAACAAAGTGCAAAAGACTGTCATTCCATATATAGAACAATACAAAGCAGAAATTTCCAAAAACACAACACACATATATATACATATCAACTGAACAACTACTCACAATTCTCCGAAAAGTAATCCCAAAACTGAGCTCAGGATCCAACCCAACATCCAAAAACTCCGACCCATCTGGTTTCTTCCCAACCAGACCCGATTGACCACTGCCCTGGCCCGACGCACCGAGCCTCCGTGGATCCGAGATAGTAGTTGGGTTCAGAGTCTCCAACCGAAACCCTCCGCTGCCATTGCTGAATCCAGAGAATGGCTTCTTCGCTGGGTGGAAATCGACTTTTCTGCTGAACATAGATTCGATTGACGGCGGAGCCGGAGGGTCCGATGACTCATCTGGGTGTGAATTGGGTGTGATCAGAGTTTCAGCCATCATAAGAGAGGTCTCAGTAATTGCGTACAATAGAGATCTTCAGATTTTGTACCCAAAAAACCTCTCTCTCTCTCTCTCTAGAACATGTGACAGCTTGTTTCTCTCTCTACAAGCACCTGTATCCAGCTCTCTTTCTCTCTCTAAAACCAGAGGCTTGGTTTGGGCTTTCGGTGACAGAGACGAGGGAGGCGAAGCACAAAAACCACTAAACCCTACAATCCTATTAGTGATGCTATATGTTATAATAAAAAATAAAAATAAAAAACTCTTTTATTTATTTTTTTAAAATAAATTAATACATCTTAATAATAATTATTATTTATTATTTTTTTAAAAATAAATGTGATTAATTTATGGGAGATTTATTAGAAAAAATTTTTTAAGTGTTTGTATCTCAATTAGTCATAAGATATTCTTATATTCTAATAAGTCTTATTATTTAAATATTTAATCTATCAAATCTTAATTATCATGTTTAAGGTATTTTATTAATTTTTTATCCCAATAATGATAGAGACCACTAATTTTGGAGCTCTAAAAAGATCACTAATGACATGGCACTCAATAAAAAAAGAAAAAAAATACAACACCAAGGTCAAAACATCAAATCATTCATGGTGGAGCCCACTGCCACATCATTAGTGATAGCACTAATTAGTCCTCTCACTCATTTTCCTTTTTATCCTTACAAATATTTTTTTTGAACGGTTAACAAGTTGGTCATGTGAATATTCATATTTTACAATGTGAATATTCACATTGTGGGTGTTTAGGAAGTTATTATTTCAGTAGGCTATTTTAGTTTTTGACTATTTTAAGAGGCTAAAATTTTTGTGTTTGGGAAGATAGTTGAATTTTTTTGTAATTGGATGTGATGTTTGTAAGAGAAAAAATGAAATGATTATGGGTTTGATGTGACATGTCTTATTGGCTATTTTAGCCTATTTTGTCTTTTAGTGCTATTTTACCCAAAAAAAAATTAAAACAAGCTCTTCCCAAACACCCCATTGACATGTTAACATTCACATTGATGATATGAACATTCACATTGACGGTATGAACATTCACATTGACGATGTGAATATTCACATTGACAGTGTAAATATTCACATCATAGAATATTCACACTGTAAATATGAATATTATTAGGGATATTTTGGTAACTATGTGGTGTTTTGGTAAGTTGGTAAAAAGTTGATTTTTGATTTTTTTAGCTAAAAAAAATTAGCTTTTTAAGTAGTGACTTGGGTAAAAAAGCTAAAAGCTAGCTTTTTGCTAGCTTGTCAAAGCAAAATTATATCACTCATAAGACTTATTGGAATATAAAAAAATAATGTGAATTAAATAAAATATAAGTAAATAAAAAAGGATTTATGAAAAAGTACCCCTTAATTTATTTTGTTATCTATCTATCCATATATCCAATGTGATAAACGGACTATTTTTTTTCTTTAAAATAACATTTTATGTTATAATATATGTGTTATAAAAAAATAATATTAATTTTAATTTACAATTAAAGTGTGATTTTAATTATTTATTGTGATAATTTTAGTCTTATCGTTTTGAATACTTATTTATAATAATTTTACTTAAATTATTTATTTTGATAATTTTAATTCTATCATGATATAAAAATGTAATTATTATATAATGATTTTATATGCTATATATTAAATTATATGATAGTAAATTCAACACTCATTTTAATATTAAAAATAATAGTTAAATTAGAAAGAGAATTGATTACATAAAACTAAAATTGATTCTAATTATTTAATTTTCTTTTATATGGATACGTGCGTTGTACGTGGTACATGATTTTTCATCAATTATTAATATTATAATTATATATGTCTTTTAAATTGATATGTGATATGCATATAATGTATAGAGACTTGTATTTTGCCATTTCTTCCCAAAATGCCCTACTTTTGTGTTTTAATTACAAACTTACCATTAAGGCTTGGGAATTGTGCGTACTATAATTCTCTTTGTTTTGAGGTTTTTTAAACACATTTTGACTCATTTGGAAAAGTTTAACCCACTTCAGTATTTCACAAAAAGATTAAAAAAAATAAAAAAATAATTTTTAATTACCTTTCCAAAACACTAATTTGTTTCATAAATTTACTAGTTGAACCTATTGATAGTTGTATCTTTGCCGCTCATGTATACTATATGCGGACCTTTTGCGATACAATGTACAAATATAATCATTATAATATTATTGATGGTACAAAATCAAATATTATTTAGAAAATAAAATTTAAATTAAAATACTTAGCGTTGTCAAAATGCTATTGTTGAGATTGTTATCTAAGAAATGACATCTTATATTTTTAGATCTTTTTGGATTTTTTTTATCTCATCCTAACAAAAAATAAGGTAAATTACAAATATATTTCTAAAATTTGTTTAAAATACGAATTGTCCTTTGCAATTTTGAAAAATATATCTCACTCTTTCAAGTTTCTAATCATATAACAAATGACACATTTTATTAATAAATCATCAAGTCAATACATAGTTTTCAAAAATATCATAAATATATTTCAATTAATAATTCAAATAATTTTATTATTGTATAGGGGAGTAGTTAGAAAATTTATTTTTTTGGCTAATTCTATTAAATAAAAAATTCTTTTAAGGCAGTATTTATAAGTTTTTTAAACAAATAGGGCAATTTGTAATTTAAAGAAATCTCAAGAGATATATTTGTAATTTATCCTAAAAAAATAAGAAAATAAAATTCATTCATTTTATTTATTTATTTTTCTATAATACAATTTGGGGGAATATTTTTTAAGGTCCCTCGTATTATAATTTTACAGCATAAAGGACACTCAATATTTTCATAATGTCTAAGGTCCCTCAAGTTCATCCAGAGAAAATTGATCCAGAGAAATTTCTCTCCAGAGAAATTCTGAAAATTTCTCTGGACTTCGGAATTTCTCTCCAGAGAAATTTTGGATTTATCTCCAGAGAAATTTTGAATTTCTCTGACTTCGGAATTTCTTTGACTTCGGAATGTGTTTGAACCAAATTTCTCTGACTTCGGAATTTATCAAATGTGTTTTCATAATGTGTTTTAACCAAATTTATCTGACTTCCGAATTTATCTCCAGAGAAATTCAGAATTTCTCTAGAACTGATACTGATGTTTTATGGCAGGGTGGGAAAATACAAAGGCTGAATGCTTGTATGATGATGGGGAGAATCAAGTAAAACAAGGACAAAGCATTGCAGATTCGTCCACCAAATTTCTCTGGACTTCGGAATTTCTCTCCAGAGAAATTCAGAATTTCTCTGGATAATCTAAGTACAATGGGAGCTGTTTGCTCGGCTAGGACGACCATGAAGAAAAATTCAGAGTTTTGAGAAAAGAATTCGGGATTTTCTGGAAACTCAAGTCCATGAGGAGTTTATATATATATATATATATGTATATATCATGTAAAATCATTATATTATAATTACACTTTTATAGCACGATAGGATTAAAATTATCAAAATATACAAATAATTTAACTAAAATTGTTATATATAAGTATTCAAGTAACACTTTTATGGAATGACAGAACTAAGATTATGAAAGTCAGGGATGATTTGGGATATTTTAAATAAGTGCACTTTTTAACTTTTTATAAATAAATAAAAAATGTGTAGAAAAGTAGAGAAAATGGGTAGAAAAGTAGAGATAAGATGTTGATTGATGTGACTTACATAAATATATGTATGCAAAAAAAGTGCACTTTTTTAATGCATGCCAAACACCTACTAGGGCACTCAATCCATAAGTCCAAGTCTTAATTTTGTTTAGCCCAAAATTCAGTCCAAAAGGATAAAGTCCTGTAAAATGACCAAACTACCCACTTATATATATGTTATACGGTCTTAGTCTAAAACAACGATAACATATTGGGTGTGTTTGGTTTGATTTTGGGGGATAAATTTTCAAAAAACATTTTGGGGAAAGTGTTTAGAAAATTTTTTTGGGTTTATTTGGTTGTATATTTTGAAAATAGTTTTGGAGTATAGGAGTTTGGGATGATTTGATATTTTGTTGTAGTTGAGTATATGTGTGTGAGAGAAAAAGTAGTTGAGAATGAAAAATGAGAGAGAAAAAGTGAATGATTGATGTGTAGGAGATAGAAAGTGATTTTGGAATTTTTTTTTCCAAAATCACTAAACCAAACAAAATTTTAGAAAATTTTCTCCAAAATTTAATTCTCAAAAACAAACCAAACAAGGCCACTCTCTTTCTCTATCATCTACGTTTCTCTCACTCTAAACCTTCACCAAAACCTAACCTTGAGCTATTCTGTCGCCACTGCTATTTATCAAGGCAAAGCTGGCTTTAATCACCGCCGCCATCTCCTCCGCTTAAAGCAGGCATTTCAACCGACTCAATGACAGCATGAAGTACAACTAGATGAGATGCCGTCATTGAAGTCCATTTCGTCAGAGTTACAAATGAAACTCGAAGGTGCTTCAATATAGCGATCTCGGTTTTTCCTTTCTTTGTTTATTGTATTTCGGACTTGGTTCCGTGGTTGTGTTGTTGTCTTATTCTTATTTTCATCCTTTACTTTTTGTATTTAAGTCTTGGGTTGTGTTGGGCAGGTTTGGAACAGGTTGGTTGTGTTTAGAAATCAAGAGTTAATGCCCAGATTTTGGCCTTCACGCTCGAGCGGGCCCTTTGTTGTTGCCTCTCCGCTCGAGCGGGCGTTTTGACACTCCAGCATGATTTTCCATCTCTCAGTATTTTGTTCCGCAGGTCATTGGACGCTCGAGCGTCCACTTTCACGCTCGAGCGAGGACCATCGACTGTAAAACTTCTGGAAGTGTGCAATCGACGCTCGAGCAGCGCTTTTCACGCTCGAGCGTAAGTCTGTGTCTGACGCTCGAGCGGGGAGTTCCACGCTTGAGCGGGGCGATTTTTATATCAGTCCGAAAAGTGACTTTTTGGATCACTTTTCTTTGACCTTTTCTCTCTCTAACTTTTTAAAACCTCCATTTGAGAGCTCCTCACTCAAACTTCAACTTCTCTCTAGGGTTTGATCTAGTTTGAGTGATCTCCTACCTTAGTGTATTTGTAAAAAGTATAGAGCTTGGCTTGGGCTACTTTTCCATTCGAAAATCATGGGTTTTGGAGCATTTCGAAATTCTTCATCTTCCCCATTTGGTCTCATCTTTTGAGGTAGAAATAACTAC